AGAGCTTTGAAACGGAACCAGGACATGGGAAACGTTTGATGAAGACTTACAAGTACTGCACTCTGGACTTTTTCAACATGACTGGGCCTCCACGCACAAAGCTACAGAAATGCTTTCCATTTTGGTGCAGAAGAACTTGACTGATGTGACGTATGTAGTCCTGACCTCAACCCTGCCCAACACGTCTGGGATGAACTGGGAGTCTTACCAACCAACACCAGTGTGAAGCCGTTTGCTTTCAGTTTATTGCCTGGGGTTCCCGTCAAAGCCAAATCTGACAAGAATATTCCAAATATCACCCCTTACAGAGGAATCGGACATAAAAAGGAAACATTAACGCAGCAGGGAAACTTATGATTTTAATCAGCAACAGTTGAACTGGCATTAATGGTGATCTGATAAAACCTGATAAAACCCACTCAGAAGTTAGAAGTAAAGGGGGGAGTGGGGTGAGAGAGGGGAAGTGAACGCTCTGTGGGACATTTTATTTGTTACTCCATCATTAAAACTGAACGTGTTATAGCTGAAGAAGCACCAAAATAGCTTCCCTACTGTACAGTCCAATTCGTAGGGAAGTTTTTATGCTTGGCCGGCAGAAAACGTACAGCGAGCTCAGTGAAGCTGCCGACATGAAATCATAGCATGACAACTCAGAAAAGAACATCAAGTGTGCAACACTGGTATCTCAGATTCAAATGTAGTACAATTAAAAGCTACTTTATACCTGTACTTCACTGATACGCACAGGAAGCAGCACTTTTTATTGTACTATAAAATTTAGATAAAGACTTTACATACAAATATTTTAAACTACCAAGAGGCTTCAGCATTAATATTTCATCCAATAATATAATTACACTTCACTCTAAAATGGACAGTTTTGCATGAGTACTTTCACAGTAGTAGTACAATAACCGTTGTGCTTTAATTGAAATTCTGAATGTAAAAATATTGTCTGTTTTTATATTGTCTTTTATTTATTTGACTTAAGAACTCAGACCTCTTCCTTCAGCAATGACAATGCTGTATTATGATGTGGTCACAATAAAATCTTAGGGAAAAAACATGTGAATTCTCTGCTTAAACAGGATAAATAAAGGGCACCTTCTGGAGCTTCCTGGATGAGACATTATTTAAGATGTCATCTACTAGCAGGTTGGTTCTGTGACTACTCTGTAGAGACAATATTTCAGTAGAAAGGAAATAATGTTCTCTGGGTTGTAGTCTTAGCCAGGTCTGGAGGGTTCACTCTCACTGTATAGGTTCCTTTGCCATTGAATGACCAGAGAAGAAACACAGCAGCCAGTGCGGTGTACTGTAATAAGCCCATCTGCTCCACTGCTTCGTGCAGATCAATAAAGTTATAAGGCGACACAGTGAGGCTGAGCAGGCTGCCAGCCGTGTCCTCGCTCCCCAGGCTGAAGCAACTGATGCTCTCAGGGTGGCAATATGTCTGCCAACCTTGAGTTTACACAGAAAAGAACAGAGCAACATACACGCTGGACTCTGTCCAAAAGTACAGCAGCATCATCATGTTTATATCGACAGGTCTATTTATGGCATTTGGCAGAAACTCTTCAGAGAATGATGCTCAGTGCATTAATGTTTGAGCAAATAGCCCCAGGAACCACAACTGCCTTTTCTTCAGTCCTGTACGCGTTTCTCAGCCTTAGGAAATTTAGATTTATTAAAAAGCAACAGCCTTTCTTAAGATACAAGTTTAGCATCTTAATGTTCCGAAATGGTCGGGAGTGGATGGTGAGACGGAAAAAGTCAGAGGCATCAGGGAGCATCTGTCTGCAAAGCACCAACATTCTGCTGAATATATTGTCTGACTGTACTCAAGTTGTTTTGTGTCCTAGTTTACTTGTACAGTACAAAAAGCATCCACCCTTCTCATCCAATTGACACTTGGAAACAATTCTTGAATTCCTAATGAGGTTCATTGGCTCCTGGAAAACCTCCTGAAGTAGAGAGCGATAAGAAAATATCATTTAGTGATTCAATAAGTTTTGGACCAACAAGTGTCAACAGCTTTTCTCCACAAATATTCCACAAAAGCTCTCTACTCCTCACTGCAGGAACACCCTGACCACACATTCACAGCTAGAGCCTGCCAAATACAGCCTCGGTCTGACCTGCTGACCACTTAGCAGCTGGCTATGGGCCTTGTTCAAGGGCACCTCACTGGTGGTAATGAGAAGGGCAAGCACTGCTTTTTCCACATTTATCCGGCCAGATGAAGCCACCACTGTGCTTCCCAATTTAGCACGTTATGCTCTCAGAGAAATGTCAAGTTACTGCAGCAAAAGCCTGTGAAGTTCCAGGTCACAAACCCTGAACTCGTAGCTCTGTGCTAATATAGATCAGTAAAGCTGACATGGACAATCTGATGATGAGCTGTTGGAGTTGATGATGGTTGTGTATGTTTTGTGCAGATATGTGGACATACTGCTTAAATAACATATTAAAGTGTTAACAACACTGGCCCATGTTTTGTGTGCACGAGTGAATTTTGAGTACAAATTACTGACATGTGGGTGCGAGTTTTGACCAGTTTCACCCCTCAGACCCTCCAGGCTCTGATATCTGGAGAGGGTTGCCACATTCTGACGAGGCGGGACTGCAGTAGATTCTACAGTTTCATTCAACTACTGAGGTGAAGTGACATGCAGGTGGATAATGGTTACGTTTTAATAATAAAACTGGCTGTCATTACACCATGTGCTGTGGCAGTAACATCAAAGCACCACACACACACACACACACACACCGTAGCTCAAGGCAAACATTCTGCCCAGCCGCTCTGAATATGCTTGAACATGGGAGCTTCACTACTAATGACTATTTATGAGGCCATTTTCTAGTCATGCTGCACAACAACACACAGTATTCATGCTGCTCTTTTTTTATACTCTGCTACAAAACTTGAATTTGATCTACAGTAAGCCCCCAGACAGAGCTGAATATTCATCAAAGCAAACCAACATGTAAACTGGCGGCTCCCCTGTTCATCCAGCACTGCAGCAGTCATCACGGCTTCCCGTTGTAACCGTCCAACTCGTGACTTCGCTCTCATCCTGACTATTATTCTGCCAGTGACCAATTAGGTCTGTTCATATCATTAGTGTAATTCTGATTCAAAGCCCACACCTGCCATTACTTCAAACACTCCATCCCATTAGGAAACTCCCGTCATTGCAGCAACAAATTAGTTTTGATAGAATTAAATCAAGTCAAATTTTATTTGTATAGCGCCAAATCACAACAAAAGTCATCTCAGGACACTTTACAAAGTAAGGTCTAGACCTTACTGTTATCAATATTATTACATAGGGAAAACCCAACAAATCCCCCTTGAGCAAGCACTGGGCGACAGGGGGAGGAAAAGCTCCGTTTAACAGAAGAAACCGCCGACAAATCCCGGCTCTTGGTGGGCGGCCTTCTGCCTCGACCGGTTGGGGTGAGTGGATAGAGGAGAGACAAAAGAAGAAAAGCAACAAGACACAACAATCAAACACTGATCAGGTCGATGTGGCTGGTGACTGCTC